TGCAGAATGTAACATGTAAAGAAGCAGCGTGTTGGTGGCCCCGGAGTCGCCTTCCAGCCGGGCCTTGCCTCCACCTCAGGGTCCGGTCGCCTCCTTGGCCCCAGAGGCGGCGGGAGCGCTGCCCGCGGAGGTCGGGGGACGCGCCAACCCCTCGCCCTCCCTGCCCCGGGGCCGCCCCGACAGCGCCCCGGAGGACAGCTAGCTCGGGGTGCGGGCCCCCGGCGGCGGGTGACCTTGAGCCGGACGCCCGCCGGCGTTAGAAACCGCCTTGTTTCATTTGTTGGGGGTGGCGGTGGTTCCCCTTTGTGTACAATGCGTGTTGGCACCGGGCGGCCTTGTGGGCCCCGATGGCCATCGGCACCTCCCTGTCCAGCCCGGCGGCCTCCGCGCCCGCTCGCCGCCTGGGTGCCCTTCCTGGAGCTGGGGCGCCGGGGGGACGTCGTGACTCGTTTCCGCGCAGTCTGGACCCTGATCTGCATGGGAGAGAACACTCCTGCCTGTGCCCCAAATCTTAGCGCCGGAGGCATGGAGGGAGACGGTCACCTCTCCAACGCGGTGACGCCCTAACACTTGCAGCGCGTGAAAAAGGCCAGTGGGCCTTTGCGCCCAACTAAAGCCCCGGTGTCTTAGTGGGTGCACGTTGGCGTGCTAATTGCAAGGGCAGGAGTTCGAAATCACTAGCCAGCCTGGGGGAGAAAGATGAGGCTTTCTGTAAGAAAAGCGTTACCGTCCCGGAAACGCCCTGGGGCAGTTCGACCCGGTCCTCTGGGGTCCTTAAGAGTCGCAGTCCACTCAGCTGCAGTGAGGGAAGCCCCGGTTGCCTGGAGCCTCTCCCCCACACTAATTGAATGACGCGGAGTGGCCCTCCTGTCTCGGATGCAAAAATGAAACAACCGAAACATTTACTTGTGTGTCACTTTAGCTGGCTAATGAGATTCCCAGAGGGAAAACCGGGTTTGGAAAGCTATTCATTGCCCTGAGTCCACATTTCTCCGGTTATGAAATTGGGAGAATCTGCTACCCTTTGGGTTTCCAAGCTTATGGGTTGCTTTTGCCGATCTTTCCCCAGGGAAGTTGTGAGTTCTTCCACTTCTGCTCTGGTGAGGCAGCCTCGGTTCGTTTTGCTTTGGGGTTGGTTGGTTTTTTAAGATAACGGTTTAGCTGTGGCTCCCCGCCTCCTGGTGTGTAACATGTGGAATTGGAAGCTTATTATGAAAACCTGTAATGGTTTATATTTTTCAAAATTTGCAGTCTCTTTTCTTAAAAAGAAAGTTTTCCCCTGTTGCATAGCCCTTTTTGTTCCCGGTAGGACTTTGGGGAAAGAACTTAAATGAATGGTTTCCATGAGGGGGCTTCAGGAAATCATAAAATTGAATTCAAAAATGATGGAGTCTTTCCCTTTTAAAAAAAAAAACTCCCTCGTGTACATAAAAACCTTGAACTAAGACCACACCATATATGCTAAAAAACTGGAGGATTTTTTTGTAAGTGGAAGATTAACAGATAATGGCAATTTGAACCAACCTAATGAACTCCCTAGGCCTAGGGTCTAAGAGCCTTCCCAGGTGGGGCCTGAACCCTGCATTCATCTGGGATCGGTGTTGACTTTAGGTGGCATATGGATGAGAGCGTTCTGGGTTTAGTTTGGTTTTGTAAGGATGTAAGTGACTTTAGATAGTAATGCAAAGTGCCCTTTTGAAATACATTTATTTAGGACTTAAGTTCCCAAACTTATTTGACCTACGACCCCCTTTCAGGAAAAAAAAATTACTGCCTCACCTGATAATCAAAAACTTTTGTATGATAGCCAATAAGCGAGGATAAAGTTTCGATATCTGCTTTTGTGTGAGGGGACACCAACATCAATTGGCATAACATAGTCAACAAAGACAGTGCTTATATATCAGTGGTTCTCAACCTTCCTCATGCTGCAACCCTTTAATACAGTTCGTGTTGTGGTGTCCTCCCAACCATAAAATTATTTTCATTGCCATTTCATGACTGTAATTTTGTTGCTGTTATGATGAATCCGGTGACCCCTGTGAAAGGGTCGTTCCACCCCCAAAGGGGTCGCAACCCACAGGTTGAGAACCGCTGTTATACATCCTGATTTGGTGAGTAGCCACTAGGTTCCTAAAGCTTGTTAGTGACTAAATGAGTAAGTTACAGCTATTGATCTCTCTGTCCCAAGCTAGGTGGAGGATGGGGTTGGGAGAGAGATTCAAAGAAATGAAACAATTAGTCTGAAGGGCTAATGCACTACATGAACCTCAGCCTTCATGAGTGTGAGCTCAGAGGAACTAGATGGTGCCCCACTACCACTGCCAGCCACAATGCAAAGGATCACAATAGGAGGTCCTCATAGACTATGCCTCGGCTCTTATCACTTGGAGATTCCCCCACATTACCTCCCTAATAATGGCGGCCTCCAGTCTCTCATTTAGCCCCTGTTTTTCTTCCCCAGGGACCCAAGCGGCTCTAAATCCAACACATGCCCTTTGAAGCAAGTTAAAGGATTTACTATGAAGCACAGAAGCAGATAGTGCCAAGTAGCAAGCAGTAGTAGTTACCCATTTGTAAGTAAAATCACTTTCTCTCTTGCCTCTTTCTTAGTCTTGAAACCATCTGCATGCCGTATCCTTACAATTCATGTTTTGGTAAATTTGAAGGTTCCTAACATTTTAGTAAATAATCAAAGCAGCGAGTTAGCAGTCATCAACCCCCAGTTAGTTGCTGGGGCTTAGCCGCCTTCAGCAGCTGCTAAGAATCTTGCTAAGCATCTCAGGGAAGTCCTTAGCTATATCTGATGTGGAGTGTAAGCACTCCAGCCATGACTTAGCCACAAGGAGCCAAGCATTTACATTGTCTGTAGGAGAGACTTTTACCATTGCTATGCACCTAAAACCTTTTGCTGCACACTTAGTTCTGAAGATGTAGTATAATTTGGTTCTCAACGTGATCTCCTTTTGAAGGAGACATCGCTTCCATGTCAAAACGTTAGACTACCTCAAATACACCACCACCACCACTACCCCCTTGAAATCCTCTTCATGACTCTGTACTGCATCTTAAAAAGATGAGTTTTCCATTTCACTGCAGAATGTAACATGTAAAGAAGCAGCATGTTGGTCTTTCTAGCCTGACTTCACGTCACATGTGAGCACCTGGTGCAGCATGGTTTTATCCTGTTCGCAAAATCCCAGGTCACTGGGCTCTGCCTCAGCCTGCCCCTGCTTTGGAGGAGGCCCCAAAGAGCGAAGCTAGGGAGGATTTGAAAACGACCCTCTCAAATCAAGCCCCAGACCATGTGCGAGGCTAAAAGGAATTTGAAGTCGCGATTTACTTTGCTTCATCGTTGTCTTGTGAAATGACTTGTTGAAATACTGATTTTTATTCTTTCTTTTTTTCAGCTGGAAAAGCAGTGTCCGTGTTGTTATGTCCACCTCCAAAAAGAGTTCAGATCTGTAGGGGAAGCCTTGTGTAAAGTAAACTGAACTGCAGGGTAGCAGTGTTGTCCTAGCTATTGTAGGTGGGTCTGTACTGTGTTAACATGAGTAAAAGAACGAGCAGTGACACACCGCTAGGAAGGTCAGTGGCATTTTGTTCAGCTGAGGTCTGAGTGGCAGTGGCTTTCAGGCTGCTGCCGAAGGCTAGCCGTGCTCTTTCCACTCGCAGCCGCCTGCATTTCTCTGGGCTCAAGCGCCTTCTCTGCTAGGGAAGCTTACTTGACGCCTCGGGTCTGTCTGCCCCCTCCAAGGCATGCCATGCTTTTTTTGGTTTTTTGGCCCCCCTTTTCTGTAAATAAACACGTTAATATGTTACTAAGTATAAATTAATAAGGTTCAATATTCGGCCCTTCAGAAGAGGAGCAGATACGTTAAGGATTTGTTAATGCAGATTCAATATTTGGCATCAAGCCTTGTTCATCAGCTAAGAGAAGTGTACAATTATGTTTTTTTTTACTTCTCGGGGAGGAGCAGCAGTTTATTTATCTCCCTTTCAAGTAAATTTTGAGTTAACTTGATTTACTTCAGAAGCTGATTTTCATCATTAAAAGAGTTGATATTTTTGTGCATGAGGGCAGTTTTTTGGTTTTGGCTTTTTTTGGTTGTTGTTTGTGGGGTTATTTTCTTTTTTATAAAGCCCTTGCAGCTTTCCCGCCAATCATTGATTAGGGGACTTAATTTTTTAAATTTATTTCAAGCCTTTTTGCATTTATTAGCAGCATGCATATTTGTTTTTGCAGTCTGTCTGTCTTGTCTGTCTGTGTCTCCACACTTGTGTATATGAAATAGTTCTAAAACTTTGCTCCTAAACTATATCCTCAAGGTAAAATTTCAACTGATAAGTAAGAAGGCATTATGTTGAGGAAAAGAATTTTCTTCTGCCTTGTTTTCCCTTTGTGTGGATTCAGTAGTCGCAAATGAAAAGTGTCCTTTAGTGCTTTCTAGACGGTACTGCCTTGTACTTCACTACAAAGAGGAGGCTGGCGTTTGGACTCCCAGTCACCCCTTCTTTGCATTTTTCGCCCACAGGGTGAGTGGGGCAGCATTTCCTTCTCCCACTGCTGCTGAAATGGCGGAAATTAGTCGCATCCAGTATGAGATGGAATACACCGAAGGTATCAGTCAGCGAATGAGGGTCCCAGAGAAGTTAAAAGTAGCACCACCGAATTCTGACCTAGAACAAGGATTTCAAGACGGCTCTCCAAATGCTAGTGTGATAATGCAGGTTCCAGAGAGGATTGTTGTGGCAGGTATTCTTACAGTTAGTTACAAAGTCGGCTTAAGCACTTTTGCTCAACCTTACCACCACCACCCCACCCATCCCCAACCCAGCCATGTCCCACCCCATTTATAACACACCACAGGCAGGTAGGCAATAACATCTCACATTAAGCACCTGCCTGGTTATTTTCACAATTGGTTGTGCCTTCCCACCGGTCATGCATGAGAGTTCTGTTTCTGCCAGTCTTCCTAATCTGAGCCATTTAAGTAGCGTATCTTTCTTGTGAAATGCCTGTTCAAATCTTTTGCCAGTTGATAAAATTGGGTTTGATTGGTTTGTTATTAATTGTGTTCTAAGAGTTAATTGTAGATGTTCTGGATACCATTATTTATTTACATATATATATGTGAATATATATACACATCCCCAAACCAAAAAATGCCCCAAACGCACTATCATAGAGTCTCTTCTGACTCATAGAGATCCTCTGTACATAATTTATCATTCCAGCAGCATACTAGTAAATGTTAGTGAAATGTTCATTCTTATGCTGAGAGTTTAGATTTAATAGTTCTAATGCTGGTAGCTGGGCTATAATACCAAAGTAAGAAAACAATTACACAATTATATCTTAATACCACCACTGTCTTTCTGAAACCCTCTCAGGAAATAATGAAGACATTCCATTTTCAAGACCAGCAGATCTTGACCTTATTCAGTCGACTCCCTTTAAGCCTCTGGCACTGAAAACACCACCACGTGTTCTTACGCTAAGTGAAAGACCCCTAGACTTTCTAGATCTAGAAAGACCTGCTCCAACGCCTCAAAATGAAGAAGTAAGTAGAGTCTGAACTTTATCTGAATTTGAAATCGTGGACAAAAAGTACAAGTTAAAGAGTAGCTAAGAGGCTGTAGATTGTATCTTTGTAGTGCCCTGCTATCAGAAAGAATCATGCCTGGAGTCTTCAAAGCTGATCTTAGAACAAGTAGCCATCTAAGTAAAGTGTCAACTAAGTCCACATAGAAGAAGCATACTATCCTGAGTAATCCAAGGATTGTAAGTAATAAAATCCAAGATCAGAGGGGAGAACTGTATTAGAGTTTAAATTCTGAGCACCTAGTTTGTGGAAGGCCACAGATAATATTGAAAACCCCAGGTCCATTTGCAGAGTCCCCAAGGAGAGTAAGCTTCCATTGACAAGGGATACAGATAGCCTTCCCCTCACACAGAGAGCCCTGGAAAGTAAATGCATGCAGATTTAAGTTAGGTTTTAATATCATTTGTTTTCCCTTTTGACCCATTTTTTGTTCTAGTTTTTTTTCTGTTTTCTTTGGGATTGAGGTTTTTATGTGTTTGATTTTCTTATTGGGAGGAGGTGGCGGTTGTGTGATTTTCTAATCCAAGATTAGAATCTAATTAGAATCTAATTAAATCTCTATGTAGATTTACCTACTAGATTAATAGTTTTTTTATGGTAATGCCAGAGAGTCTGGGGAGAGATGGGGTGCTAATAATAATGAGTACAAAAATGAAAATGTTCTGAAATTGATTATGGTGAAGATTACATAACTTTAATGTATTCATCCTATTGAATTGTGTGGCACATGTCAGTAGAACTGTTAAAAATAAATTGTATCTGTAGTAAATGAAATGAAAATTTTTCACACAGAAGGTTGGATTTTGATTTATGCTCAAAACCAAATTCAACTGCCTATGAGTTGATGGCAACTTACAGGACCCTGTAGGACAGCATAGAGCCACCCGCTGTCATTTTCCAAGGCTGTTTACAGGAGTAGAAAGACCGGTCTTTCTCCCAAAGGGCAGCTGGTGGTTTTGAACTGCTGATCTTGCAGATCACAGCTCTCCATGTAACCACTATGCCACCGAGGCTCCTTTTTTTATCTATAGAGATGCCAAACAAGGTATTATAGTTTTGTTTTTTCAACTTAGATATTACATTTCAGGGAAAGTGAAACTTGATGGGTAGCATTTTCATATTGGAAGTCTTGAAGGAAAGAATCCTTCACACATTGAGCAGTACAGAATAAGTTGGGAAGTTTTGCAATTGGTGAAATTCATGTTGGACTTTGTTATAAAGGAGGAACCCTGGTGGCATAGTTGTTATAAAATGGGCTGCTCAGATGGACATTGGGCCTCCACTCAAGTACTAACTCGATGCACGAACACGTTGTTCTATTAAATTGGCATTTCATGATGCATACCTTCCCAACACGATCACTGAAGACAAATGTGTGCATAAGCAAATATGGTGAAGAAAGCTGATGGTGCCCGGCTATCAAAAGATATAGCATCTGGGGTCTTAGAGGCTTGCAGATATACAAGCAGCCATCTAGATCAGAAGCATCAAAGCCCACATGGAAGAAGCACACCAGCCTGTGTGACCATGAGGTATAGAAGGGACCTGGTACCAGACATCAAAGAACAAAAACTCATTATCAGTGGGTGCCCACCTTCCCAACATGATCACTGAAGACAAATGTGTGCATAAGCAAATGTAGTGGAGAAAGCTGATGGTGCCCAGCTATCAAAAGATATAGCATCTTGAGTCTTAAAGGCTTGAAGGTAAACAACCGGCCATCTAGCTCAGAAGCAAGAAAGCCCACATGGAAGAAGCACACCAGCCTGTGTGACCACAGGGTGCTGAAGGGATCAGTTATCAGGCATCAAAGAACAAAAAATCATATTGTAAATGAGGGTGAGTGCAGAGTGGAGACTCAAAGCCCATCTGTATGTAACTGGACACCCCCTTAC